TTGTCACCATAGGTGTAATTTTTTTTTTTTTAAAACACATTTAATATGAAAAATTAAACAATTATTGGGAAAAAAATAATTTCCGAAAGGATAAGAAAACACTAGAAAATGTTTTAATGTATGAAGCTGAAGCTTTCTAAACTATTTTAGTTTCCGTTTTCATTTTCATTACGAAAATAATTGTGATATAAGATCATGTATTATGAACTCATAGAGTAGCCCGAGTGTCTATTGAGAATTGAGCTGGAGTCTTTCAACCAAATTTTTTTTTTTTGGTGAACTCCAAGTGCCTCCTGACAACACCACAGCACATTCGAGGACAAACATGGTAATCAAAGAGGTTGTAGCCTGCAGAGAAGACATCATATGATAATTAAAGAAGGTCTAGCTTTGATGCTTCTTATATTTGTAATTGTTGAACAGGCCGATAGCTATATAATACCCATAAAACTGTAAACCCCCCACACTCTTATTTTTATATAGCAAGTAATCATTTCTTTGTGAAATGCTAATATTGTAAAATCCAGGTAAATATATGAAATCATTTGTAATAGAACTTGTACTAACTATGTTTAATGTCAAAATGTATGTTGTATAAGTTTGGGTTGGTTTTGGAAGAATTTAGAATGGATTGGAAATGAAAAACAAGGAAACAGGCAGAACTGAACAGACTGTACCGGTACTGCGTACCGGTATGCCCAGAAGTTACCTTACCGATACAGAGTACCAGTACGCTACTGTCCAAGAGTTTACAGTTCCGGTACTGCGTACCGGTAGGATTTGTAAGTTCCAGAAATTTTAAGTCGCGATCTGGGGTCCATTTTTCACCCTATAAATACATAATGACGTCTCCATCAGTCCCATTTCAACCTTTTTAACCCTAGGAAACCTTAGAGAGAAAGAAAGAAGGGAAAACACAAGAGATCCAAGTGTTGATTCAAGTGGGAAAGATCAAATCTTCTACCTTTCTACCCAAACTACAAAACAAGGTAGGAGTTTCTTCTTATTCTCTTACATTGAGGCTAGGGTTTATATATATGTATGTTTTGACTATAAATCCTATTTATTGTCTATTTATTGTTAGTAAATCATTGATTCTTGATATTTTTACAAACACTATCATGTTTTAAACAAAGTTATGGTTGGGTAGCCATGAAATTTCTTCTTCTTGACTCAAAACCCTAATTTTCAAGAGAAATTAATTTTTCTCTTGATTTTTCCCTTGCTCTTGATTTCAAAATTCTAGTGTTTGATATTGAACAATAAAATGATATTTATGATGATCTCTTACATATTTTATGAAATGGTTCTATTGTGATACTACATGTGAAATTTGGGGATTTTTGAATGTATTTGTGATTGAAGAAATTGGTTGGTTATTGTATCTCTTGTGGGTGTTTGGATGACCATGGGTGGCCATTGACCGGGTATCGTAGAGTGGGTAGATGCGTTTCTTACTCTGTGCGGGTTTGAATTTTTTCTACCACTCGTAGTGGGGTTGGTGCTTTGTAAAGACCAAACCACCTCACGGGTGCCGGGGAAAAGGGATAGTATATTGTTCCTGGGTTGGATTTGTTATAGCCATGAGTTGATATACGTCATTCTTAAAGGTTGGATATCCTTGCGAGGATTTGGGTGTGTGTGTGTGGGCCAAGACATTATTGATGTGTTTATTCATGCGAATCATGCATCATACCTGAGATATGAATACAAGCTGTGGATTTATGGTTTATTGTACCAGAAAAGATTTTCTACAAGACCTTGTGAAAGTATGAGATTCTACAAGAACTTGTGGGAAATGGTTTATGGTTGTAAATGATTTGTTATTGGTAATTTGACGTTATTACTTCATTTAATTTATTGTTATTGTATAAACTTGAGATCTATTGAAATATTCATGTTTTCTTTCAAAAATTAATAAATGATATTTGCGAAATGAGACCGACTTGTTTTTCATGTTTTCTAAACCTTGTTCGAGTTTGGGAGAATGTTGTTACAGAACTTAGTGTTCACCCCTACAAACAATATTTATTCTCAGATTTCGGTATGTAGGAAGAACTCGGAGGTGATGAACAGGTAGCTTGAGAAGCACCATTGGATGAAAGCGTGGATCCCGAGGGGAATGTCTAGAATTGATCTATTCATGTCCTAGATTAGGAGATGCATTTTGATACAATGGATATATGTTATTTTGTTTATTCCGCTGAAAGTTTTTAGTTTGATTTTGAGTTATAATTACCATAGTTTGACATACTTTTTTTGGATGTAGATGTCATGGTTTGACATATTCTTTTGGGTGATGTTGTAGATGTAATGTATGATGAATGAAATTTACCTTTTTATGGATTTTGTTAGTTGCTCTCATGATGTGAATGGTTTAATTAGTAATGCCGTCCAAAGTGAATTTTGGGGCATTTCAAAAACTATGCAATAAACTTGGTGTGTTGGAGGTAAGTGGCTACCCTAATGGTCACCGCTCCCATTGTTAGACCTCTATGTACATACTGTTCAAAATAAATTTTGGTGTGTTGAGCATTTGTGCGTTCAAATTGCAAGTTGGAGTAGGTAGCCTTATTTGCAAGAGGAATTGTTGGTTCTAGTTTTATGATAGGTTTTTCCTAATTGCTTCAACAAATCTCATGCGTTGTTGATTTTCTTATGACATCAGGGAAATAGGTATCTTTGTTTGTCTTACACTTGACCATTTTGCATCCATCAAACAGTCTATTCAAGTTAATGCATGGATTATTTTATATCTAATTAATTTGCATTGCATATTTTTTTCATTACTTTTTCTTTATTTGTCTCATAATTTATTTTTTTAAAATAATTCACGTGCAAACGCACGTGTGTATCAACTGGTAGATATAAATATAAATATAGATTATGTGTCCACACTGACGGTTTCGAATGGTATGTTCCTCCGACGAACCACATATCACCACTGACCACCACAAATCGAATACTACAATGCCGACGGCGCCGACGATATATAGATATGGAACTACAACAACCTACCCTAAACCTAAAAACAGTAACTCTACACTCCTCAAACCCCAATCCGCAATGATCCGAGGATCAACTGGATCTGCCACCCCATTCACAAGCACCGAGAGCTTCGTGGACTCACATATATATCGTCTCATCTGAGTTGTCGTTGGAACAGTCCCTTTAATTTTTTTTGGAAAACTTCATCCACATCCCCTCTAAGTATGTCTAAATTCAATGACACCTCTTTTCAATTTTGAAATTTCACTGTACTCGTTTTTAATTTACACTGTCAAATCAAAAACACCTTTTTAATGATAATTTTTAATTCTATCAGTACAAAAAGTAACAGTTTAACTATAAATTTTTTAAAAATGTTAAAAATATCATTCCTTATGCAAATATACTAAAGTGTTCTCAACCCCTTTTCCCACTATATATACCACACCTTTTATTGTTTGTGAATGTCCAAAAAGAGCAGAGATTGCTGAAAGACATAGGGGACCGAAGCCAGTCATTATTTTTCAACTCGTTCTACACAGTGATGGATCATTATCTAAGTTGGTAAAAAAAAATTATTTTTGTTCTTGCAAATTTGTAAATATTTTTCATGTAGATTTTTAAAAAAATTTCATGTAGTTTTTTATTTTTATTTTTTTCATGCAATTTTTAAAATTTTTTTCTTGCTGTTTTTTTTTAAAAAAAATTTCATGCAAATAGTTTTAATCTTTTCCATGCAATTTTTTTTAAAAAAAATTCATCTTAAACACCCGTTAAACATTTATGTCGTTAAGTCCATTTTTTTTATAAGTTGTTAGGTAAAAGGTACACTTTTCAGTGGTATATTTTTTGTTATTCGTTATAAATTACAGGTTTTTAAATTTACTTTATAGTTAAAAATAATTTTTTATAATAAAATTAGAATCAATAAAGTCAACGTCAACATTTCATCCATTTCTAACTTCTCTGTTATCGTCTGTCTTTCACAACGTCACCTGATCACTCTTCATACATCACTCTTCATATATAAAATTTAAATATTATGTGATAAAATTTAATATTAATTAAATAAATTTGGTCTTAATATGATAAATTTAAATATTAATTTAGTTTTAATTTGAAAAAATTTAATATTAATTCAGTGTTAATTTTATAAAATTTAATGTTACTTGAATAATACAAATGTTAATTTAATGTGAAGGCTTTGTTTTCTTGATGTCAAGGGTTCAAGCTCTTCTCCCCTTCCCCCTCTCCCTCTCCCTCTCCAAAAAATAATAATAATAATAGTAATGTTACTTGAATAAATTTAAATGTTGTTTTAATGAAATTCAATGTTCATTTGCTGTTAAATTAACAAACTGACATTAATTTGATAAGGTTAAATGTTAATTAATAAAATTAAATATCAATTTGGTATTGATTTGACAAAATTAAATAATAATTCAATATTAAATTAAAGAAATAATATTAAGTTGATGAAATAAAATATTAAATTAATATAACTAAATACTAATTTGATAAAATTAAATATCAATTTGTGTTAATTTGATAAGATGAAATGTTAATTTAGTTTAAATTAAATAAAAGACATTAATTTGATTAAAATTTAAATATTAAATTGATGAATTTAAAGGTTAATATAATAAAACTAAAGGGAGTGTATTGAAATTTTAGAATTAGAAGGGAATGTCATTGAAGTTATATCTATTTACAGGGGGTGTTGTTGAAGTTATGTCTATTTACTAGAAGTGTGGATATAATTTATCCTATAAAATATTCAGGGGTATTTTTGTAAATTAACCATCGCCGTAAATGTCATAATCCGACAAATACTGACAGAGGGTGACAGTAAAATTTTAAAATCGTGAGCAAGTGTCATTAAATATAAACCTAATTACAAAAGGTTTGGATGAAATTTTCCCATTTTTTTCTATGTTTTTGTTTGCTGAAGATGTTAATTAATGATGTAGTTATCATGAGAATCACTTTGATGGTCATTTGTAGAAGGAGCAATGTCACTGGGTTTGTCATGATAGGCTATATGATAAAGTTTTATACAGTTCTTTTTGTGCTATGCTCTTCTTATTTTAAAACTCCGTATAGCCATAGAAAAAATTACATTTTTTTTTGGGTAGGAGTTTGTTTCTTATCTCAGAACTTCATCATCTATATTATAATATACATATTTGCATAATAAATATGTAATTGGTATAATAAACATTGGGACTTTGAATGGAAACTTCATTGTTTTTTGCTGAGAAAATGATGCCGTTTGACATGCAGACGAGGAAGAAGAGGACTTCGGAAATTTGGTCACCGTTAATTATTTTTGAAATTTTTTATTTTAGTTTTTTTTTTTTTGTGACATTCTTCAGTTTATATGTCAGGTCCAAATGGTGTTCGATGAAATGGATTTTATTATTTTTTGTGCAAAGATTTTCTAGATCTTCACTTTTATTTGGTTTTTTTGATATATTAATATTGGATTTGTTTTGATATGGATAAGAAAATTATGTGATTTTTTTTTCTGTTTTAAACTAATGTCTTCAATCACGGTCACGTAGATTTTAGATGATTACAATGAACAATAACAATTATGTTTCGTGGAATTTGGACAATGACACTATTACTATGTTATTTTTATTGTCATTATGTCTCTCGGTCATTGTTATTGTGGTTATTGTTTTTGTCAGTATAATTGTTACTGTAATCGTGTGACTATCTGATTTTATAAAATTTTGAAAAAGATTGTGTCTGTAACTATGACTGTGTTGTTGTCTAGTTCATCGTCACTTTGTGTTGCAACCCTGCCACTTTCATTCCCAGCATTGCCCCTCATACTCCACCCACACAAGTATTATTGTGATCGTGTTATTGTGACAGTGACAATTATTACTGTGTTATTATTATTGTTATTGTCTATTTTGTAATATAACTATTTACAGCAATAATGATAAATTAATTTTATACCTTTAATTATCCTTTAAACCGAAAAAAAAAAAAAGTATTTATACTTCTTACCCTAAATTTAAGTATTTAGTAAACACCCGTTAAAGAAGTCCATTTTTTTGGGCCCCAAATATAAATATTAAATTAGGGGCTTTGGCGGCGGCCTCAATGTCCTATCCCTAGGGCCGGCGCTAAGAACAAGTCATTGCAAATGCGTGAGTGGCTGCTGGCACAGTAATGGCAAAGTTGGAGAACGACTTTGAAGGCAAAATTGAGTGATTCCAATCAATCAGAGGTATGAAAAAATCTAGCTTCTTGCCGTAACATCTTTATACTAATTGCATGAAACTCTCTAATTATCTAGCTTCTATTAGTCATGCATGACTGACAGACACTGTGTTCCCAAATATGTTTGAGCAATTTATTTTAACTTAATTTATTAATTTAATCGTCCAATATTTTTCGGGATTCGATGAAATTTTTACCTATCTCATAGTTGTAATTCATTAAATCAGCATTTATTTCAAATTGTTGTCATTGTTTGAGGTTCGAGTTGACTTTGATTTGGATTTTTTTCTTTGCTGACATGCGAAGCACACGACAATTTTCATTTGCTTTATTGATTGGACTATTTGATGCAAATTAGAAATTCTAGAGATGAATTGATGACATTGACAATTAGAAGATCAAAATGAGATCAAGTGCATAATTTATGATTACTAGTATATTTGCCGATGAACAATGTTATTATGATCTAATTTAATGATCTAATTCTTCGTAACCTTTGAATTAACTGTAAGTCCCATCAAATAATAGAATTTGGTATTGATCTAATGATTCTTTTTAAACCACATGATTATGTCAGCAAATTAGATCAAAATTTTAAGTTCAAATTGCATTTTTCTTTGCGAATTAGAAGTTTTGGAAGTGAGAATCAAAATTTTGTTTATGTTCATTGTTTTAATTATCCAGAAAATGAAAGCGTTTCCAAAATGTCTTAAAAAAGTTTCGACATAAAGTTTTGAAAATTTATTTTCAAAACAGTAGTTTAAAATGTAAACATTTAGAAACATTAGTGAAAACATGTTGGAATACTTCGAAATATGTTTAAACATCCCAAAGTATTGAAATTTTAATTGAGTCCTTGATTCGTTTCGGCCTCTTTGAAAACGAAAACGACTGATTATTTTAAAAATGAATTTTGATTTTGTAATTAAGTACATGAATTTATTTTCAGACATATATGGATCAGAACAATCAAGAACTTGAACTACTACAACAGCAACAGCACCACCCGAATCATGGCGGCGGCGGCAGTGGTGGTGGCTGGTTGTGCGTGAGGGGGATGACCGACGAGCAAATGGAGCTTTTACGAAAGCAAATCTCAGCCTACTGCACACTCTGTGAGCAACTTTCCGAGATGCACAGGGCCATCAAAGCCCTACCAGACCCTGTTGGAATGAAACAAGGAAATACGTATGATCCGTTGATAACTTCTTCTGCAAGCAAAGTCACATTAAGGCAGAGGTGGGCCCCAACCCACATGCAGCTCCAAATTCTTGAGAGATTATACAGGGAAGGGCAAGGGACTCCTAGCAGGCAGAAGATCAAAGAAATTACAAGGGAACTGTCACAACATGGCCAGATTACTGAAAAAAACGTGTACAATTGGTTTCAGAACAGGAGGGCCAAGTCTAAAAGAAAGGAGTTGGGTTGGAATCAAAACAATGTTGAATCCGAAGTAGAGACAGAGGTTAGATTCCCCCAAGAAAAGTCCTCCGCAGCCGAAAACACGCAATCCGATGAGAATTCATAATCAGGCACTGAAAATGTTTTTTGTACGGTGCGCTGATGTTTTTTGTATTTGTTTTTGTTTCGGTGTTCAAGTCAGTTAATGTGTATTTCGATTAGTTCTGTTCTCGATCTGATTAAAAGCAGGTCATCCACGTCAATACTAGAGTATTTATAATAGATAAATCTGTCATGAAGGCCATGATAATTCTAAAAAGTCGTCAAGATTAAAACTCAAGATGTCTGAATTTTACAATTCGTCACTGTTACTATTTAAGTTACCCCTAAATTATACATTCCCTTAATGTAAGAGCCCAAATGAATTGTTTAAAGAAAAAAATTATGTATAGTAAAATTTTTACCAAAAATTGATTTTACCAAATGAGTTAGCAGCTCGATATCATTATTGGACCCACCAAATATTGATCAAAATATTTTTGATTAGATATGAAGTTGTCAACTTATTTGGTAGAAGTACTTTTTAGTAAAAGTTTTGATAAACATATCATTAGTCCCGAGCATATGTACCATAGAGACCACACAGACATCTGCATATACCATTATATCATCTTACATTTGAGTTATATTTGATGTTAGCAAATTTGATGTCCAAATTCGGTCACCAACGTTAGACTCTTTTGAACTTATGAACTATTATGAGGAAAAAAAAAAGTAGGGAGGTAAAAGGGCTCCAACATGCGTTGGTCAAAGTCTCTTCGATTCTCAAGTCAAATTTTATGATCTGATTGGAGAAAGTAGTATTAAAACTCATGTTCTTTGTGCATACAGAAGAGCTGCATCTTGTTTCTTAAAACACTAGTTGGTATACACATAAAGTTATTTTTAAATTTGCATTCTTAATATGATCTAACTCAAGTTTAATTTTTTTATTTTAAAAAAAAAAAATCATATCAATCTCGAAGTTATATACATCTTTATTCAATTTATTTCTAGACAATATCTAGATTATAGTTGTCACTTGAAGATAGGTTAGTTTTGCATAGTAATGCTAGCAAAAGTCGAAGACTTATAAAGAAAAATTAAAATTTTCAACCTCATAACCGAGAAAATACCTAGTTCTGTAGAGCCAGAAAACACACTTATTTGCATATTCCAATATCAACAACCAATCAAATGCAAAAACAACAATTTAATATTTATAAAATATATGAACTTGCAAATGACTCGACAGACTTCCTAAAAGAGATATTGGGAGTGATATGCACATTCGTGAGAGACTGAAATCATATTTAAATAACTATTACTTTAGAGTCTGCTCATAATCAAATATCATTGAAGGGGTCAGAGTTCTCTACTTCATTATCTTCCCATATATCTCTCATACAACAAGAAGAATCACACAAACCACTCTGAGTTGTCTATAAAGATAAAAAAGTAGGCTTATCATAGAGAGAGTTCTTGTGTTCATTGAATTTGGATGGATTAAAGTGCCCATATAACAGATTCACAATAATAATTCTTCCCAAAATTAATTCTTTTACACATTCCCCTATGCTACTTGTATTATAATTGCACATCTCCCGTAGGATTCATCGTTTAGTAAAAATCATCTTATACATATATGAAAGTCATTTTTTATCGCTACCAAATACCACTCGCAGCAATAAACCATGTTATATTGATCTACTTGATTTGTACAGATAAGCAACAATTATGATTTTAAACTCGATTTATTGTTTTTTTCTAAATGTTGACTGTCATTCAATTTTATGGTCCAAGTTTTTTTGCAAGGGAAGTGCTTGTTGCAACAACTTAGATTGGTAGAACTGAAATATCTTTCTCTTAGAATAGCATAATTTATTATTTTCACTATAAAAAAATCATTACATATAATTGACAACCAAAGGGGGGTAATGATTACATACCCTCTTGCTCCTCTTCCCTGTGAACACTTCCAATCGCCTACTCTGTCTATTGGAGTCCATATGCTCCAGTTCCTGAAACACATTTTTGCAACACAATAGATAAATTGGATTATCCACCCCAAAAGCTCTAGTTTTCAACACAATCAGGAAAAAAAGAGATTAGTGAAAAGGGCCCTTGAGAGGTAAAACGACACCCTGCCAAATGTTGTATTCAACTGTTGTCTTTTGCTCGTTCAATTGGAACATAAATCTACTTAATATTTATTCGTACAATTTATAGGGGAGGGAGATTAAAGGTATTGAGATATTAATCAAGTTTTATCAATACAAAATCTACATTAAACAAGGTTAACATGTCTTTATATTTTGCTATGAGGGTAAAATAAGTAAACAAAAATTTTCTTAATTAAGGTATTGTTATTAGTAGTGTATATATATATATACTAATTGTTGCATGTGTCTGAAGGCACAGAGTAATAAAAAATACTAAACAATAAATATATTTGTATTTATATCCAAAATTAAATCACAAATATAAATGAGAGATAAATGAATTTAAACATCGGTTGTGATGAGAGTTAGAGGTGATGGTAGTAGGAGACGGTGATGATTGTGGTGGGTGGCAACGACTGTGGTGTCGGCGACGGTGGTAGTGTTGGCGGTGGTGGTGGTGGGGCGTGGTGTTGGTAGCAGCGGCGGCGATGACGACGGTGGCAGTGGCGATAACAGAGGTGGTGGTAACGGCGGTGGCGACGACAGCGACGGCGGTGGCGGTGGGGGTTAGTGGTAGCGACGGTGGTGATGGCGGCGACAGGGGCAGTGGCGGTGGTGGTAGAGGTAACGGTGGTGGGGGTGGTGGTGGTAGAGGTAATGGTAGAGCGGTTTCAAACACTATTTTTTTTAAAAGTACTTATAAGAAATAATTTCCATAAGTACTTTGAAAAAATCACTCTAAACGCATTCTTAGGGCTTTTTTATTCCTATTAAACTTAGGGTGTTAATATTAACTGTTAGATTAACTTTAAAATAAAATTTAAAGCGATCTGAAACGCGCAAAGTAAAATTCATTTTGTTTATCTTTTGAGATTTGAATTGTAAGTTACTTTATATATATACTAGTTATTGTCTGTGTCTAAAGACACAGAGTAATAAAAAATGATATATAATAAATATATTTGTATTCATATCCAAAATCAAATTACAAACATAAAGAAGAGATAAAATAGTTTAAACATCAGTTTGTAGTGGGGGTGAGAGGTGATGGGCGACTATGGTGGTGATGGTGGCGGCCGCGATGGTGGCGATGGTGGTGGCGGCGGTGATGGTAGAGGTAGTGGTAAGACGGTTTCAAACACTATTTTTAAAAAAAAAATATTTATGAAAAATAATTTTTATAAGTACTTTTAAAAAATCACTCCAAACACATCCTTAAAGGTTTATTTTTCCTATTAAATTTAGGGTGTTAATATTAGCCGTTAGATTAACTTTAAAGTAAAATTTAAAGCGATCTCAACTGCGAATAACAAAAGTCATTTTGTTTATCTTTTGAGATTTGAATTGTAAACTACTTTACTAGTTATTGGCTATGCTTGAAGGCACAGAGTAATAAAAAAATAATAAACAATAAATATATTTGTATTCATATCTAAAATCAAATCATAAACATAGAGAAGAGATAAATAAATTTAACCGTCGGTTGTAGTGGTGGTGGTAGTGGTGGTAGAGGTAGTAGTGGGGCGGTTTCAAATGCTATTTTTTTAAAGTACTTATGAAAAATAATTCTTATAAGTATTTTTAAAAAGTCACTTTAAACACACCCTTAGGGGCTATTTTTCTTTTTAAATTTAGAGTGTTAATATTAGCCGTTAGATTAACTTTAAAGTAAAATTTAAAACGATCTCAACCGTGAATAGCAAAAGTCATTTTATTTATCTTTTAAAATTTGAATTATAAACATATAGATATATATGACTCTGTTTTGTTAGCCAGAGATGAATATAAATAGTTCGAGGGTGAGTTAGTGAGATAGCCATTCACTGCTTACGTGTGGCCCTTGTATTCAGTTACTTGATTGACTCCTCACGTGTAATGGACTCTTTATGGATATAGGCCTATGACTAGGTCATCCCTTTGAGTGTAGGCCTTAGACCCTTTTTACAAAGGGATGCTTATTAATGTTGGACACGATCTGTGAACTCCACCCAATATTGACACCGGATTAGCAGATTTGAGTTTGGAATTATTGGGTTTAGGTAAAAAATTGGTAGACCCATTAGACTTGTTGAATAAATGGATTGACACTAACTTGGTTCAGTATGATATGAACCCTCTAACCACAATTTTATACACTACTAATGCACATACGAATCCAACACGATACGAATTGAGTTTCACATTATTATAAACGAGTCAAGGAGTGGTTGAACAAAATTTTTGGACAAGAACCATGCAATGTTCTAAAAAAATCATACATCTTATTGTGACATCTATGCTTGAATTAAAGGAAAGCGTAATATGTTATGTTGAAAAACAGAATCAACAATCTTGCTTTTAAAAAAAAAAAAATGGGCAGTGGGAAGGGAATATATAAAAAAACGTGTTACGTAAACACGTTACTTTTTTAGAGATTTGGTAATAGCTTCACACGAAGTGATTTTTTTGGCTTTAAGTACAGCCTCAACACTTTTAAGACCAAAAGTCTACAAAATCTCATTGACAAAAATACCCTTAATGAAGGAGGTTATCCATAAACCTCTACTATTATTCAATTTTATTTATTTATTATGTAAACTCTCACATTCGTATTATCAAATATAGCAACGTAATTATGTTTTTGAAAGGCTAATATACGTAATGGAGTATGCATGAACTAAGTAGATTGTAAGAGTAGAGATAAAAATGTTAATAGTGTAGAATCGGGTAAATATTTAGTTCAAACTTAATTTTGACTGATAAATATATGAAAACGTTTGTAATAGAACTTATACCAACTATGTTTGATGTACAAATGTATGTTGTATAAGTTTGAGTTAGTTTTGGAGGGGTTTGGAATGGGTTTACAATGAAAAATAAAGGAAACAGACAAATCTGGACAAGACTTACCGGTAGTACGCTGTCCAGTGGATCCGAACTATCGGTA